TTTCCAGAGGCGGGTTGGCCTTATTTTCAGCTTTCATTGCATTGATTTCTCGGCAAAGTAATTGAACGTAGTTGATCATCCGCGGGTCGTCCTCGGTTTGGTTGGAAGAAGAGCCCAGAGCGACGATTGTGAAGTCACAGTAGTGACAGCGCTTTCGGCAGAAAGGGAGGTGGATGTAAGCGGAAGTAGGAGGCGGAAGAATGGTGGTGGGGGTGTTGGGTGAGGCATTTTGACGAACAGTTGGCGCAGTGTGTGTGAAGCAGCTAAAGATAGCGTTAGGCAGTGGTTTTGGCGATAACGGTTTGGCGGGAAAGGTTGAGAAAATCGGAGTGAAGCTTGATTTAAGCATTGTTTAGAGTGGAGATCAAACGAGCAGCGCGATAGCTTCATCTTGTTATAAGAGTGAGAGAATGCGGCAACGGCCGGTTTACAAGGAAAAGGAAGGACGACGCCGTTTCGTGAATTTCAATATTTATACCATTGTAAACAATAATTTATTAGTGATATATTCAGTATTAAGATTTGGATATTCTGCCTTCCGAAAATAATGGATTTTAAAAATAAAAAATTGAACACAATGTGAGTAAGAGCATATTGTGTATTGCGTCAAACCATACAAACTGATTACGTATTGGGAGTTACAAACTTAAAATTAATGTTACAAAATTGTTTTACAAAGGTCATGATCTTCTCATACAAGGTGTTTCACCATATAAGGCCCTTCAAGCTCATAGCCTAATTTCCTATAGTAATGACGAGTTCCTACGCCCGAAATAACAGCGATCTTTGTGGATCTATGCTCCCTGCTCGCGATCCGCTCGGCTTCCTCCATCAAAAGTGTCCCATAACCCTGTTTGAATCATTTAGACCATAAACATGTTGGAGAGAACAACACTTGGAGTGGCATGAAACAGTTGATGTATACAAGCTACATTACCTGGTGTTGCAGCTTATCAGCATCCCGCCCATGAACTGGGACAGCAGTTCCGTAAACATGGAGTTCACGAACAATAGAGCACTTCCCCATGAGTTCGGGACATGACGTATTCCGGCCACACTTTCTTAGTCGCAGTAACCCAACCAGAATATCCTGTTTACAAAAAGAATACAAACAAAAGAATGTTAAGCGTCAGAATGCACAATCTGCTCACCATGAAAAACTCAATGCATAAAATTTTGTCAACAAATTACTACACAAATCAGAGAAACAACGAGTTTTGGAACAGGGAGATCCTCAGTTCATCTATATATGCTGAAGCAAAACTAAAATTAGATATTCTACTCAAACATTAAAGCTATGATCACTTTAAGTATTCATCTTGCATCAGCTCAACACAGTTGCACATGACAAGAATAGAATTTTCATGTGAAGCACTCTCTCTCACAAATAGATGGAATACCTGGCGAGTATCTTCATATGAAAGAAATGTTTCCCATCCTTCATTTGCCATATAATCACGACGAACAAGCTCCACTTGGTCTGGCTTAATTTTGTGATGTATGTCCTAAAATCATCAAGCATTTTTAGTAAAGTTTCATTGTAGGGAAGGGGGGCGGGAGGTCACAGTTGTAGTCTCAGTAGCATAAATCATGTTCAAACAAGCATGACTATCTGTGTACCTGAATTCCAGCCTCTCGTGTTCGAACATCACGGCACTTCAAGCCCAAGTCTTCCATCCGAGCTAAAGCCAACTCCCGAAGATTTCCTTTCTCAACCCCAGAAGTAACTAGAGGCATTGGAATGTCTCGCTGAACTCTATACACACGTGTCCAAGGGGGAACCATGGCTAGGATCCTTGCTACAATGTCCACAAGTTGCTCAGGTGGGTAATTTCTATACCTGAAAACAGAGAAAAGAAACTACAGTTATTTCCCAAAGACAAACGCAAGAGCAATCATAGTTTTTGAAAAAGTGTTGCAGCTTTGGGGCATGAATATTGGATCTCATAGTAAGGTACAAAATAAATATCATATTGCCCTATATCTGAATTATCCCCACAGCATCACTGAAAAGGAGGGAAGGGGGTATTCCTTCTCATATATGTAACAAACCAAATAATAAGTCATACCTGCCAGTTTTCCAAAGCTCATAAAGTCCAGTTCCACGGATCACAAGTGTTGGATAAATTTTAAGCCCATCTGCTCTGAACAAGGGGCTCTCAAAAAACTCCCGAAAACTCTCCATGTCTCTCTCAACCCCTACATTTGGAAGATCAGGCATCATATGGGCGACAACCTAGAGAGACGCATAAAAATTATTAGTGTGAAAAACAAAAGTAAATCAACGTGAACAACTAGAATACACTGCAAGGTGCATATTGTAAATACTCCTGAAGGCTTTGAAAACACTTGGTATAAAAAAGCAGCTTTCCATAAGAATTATGTTCATACAAGCATATGCCTCTTTTTGAACTTAGGACAAAATGAATTGCAACAACAAAACCAACTACAGTTTGATAAAATGTTCTTGTGGAGTTAAGCGAAAGCACAACATAGTTTAAAAACTATTTCCAAGCTGACAATTTTAGTTGCTGATTGCATTGATGAAAGATTAATCTCCAATGAATATAAAAAGGCCCAAATGCATTTTTCCACCAGTGAAGGCTGATATGATAGGGCACTAGGCTGACCTTGAAACCAGCATCCTTTGCCAAGCAAAAACAATCAGCCACTGCAGCTACTGTATGACCTCTATTGGTGTCACGAGCCACATCCTCATATGTACTTTGAACTCCAATCTCCAGTCTTGTACAACCATAAGAAAGCATTTGTCTCAAGTGAGGTCCAAGGCAATAATCTGGCCTCCTGCAGGACAAAAAGTTACAATCACACCTTAGGCAATTTTCTGGACCGACCATATCAACTGGTCAATATATGGGAAATTAAAAAATTACTCTAAACCAAGTTAAATACAGGAATGAGAAGAAGGGTGTTAACATCTAAAACAATTAAACTAAACACTCACGTTTCAATGGTCATTCCAATACATTTAGTAGCACCATGCTCAGAGTAGGCAACTGCCTCTTCAACATTGGCAGAAGTGTGTCCTGATAACGCATCATGCAGATTTCTAATAAAGTAATCACGGTAATCTGCTGGCAACGACATGAATGTACCGCCCATTAAGATGAACTCAACCTGAAAGCATAAATTCATTACCAGTAAGAAGTTACCAAGTATGCATTTTACTCTATCATGGAAATCTGCACAGCCAAAAATAAACTTTCTAAGCTCTAAATAGAGAAACAGGCCAAACCTTGTCTACACTGTGACCCAGTCGCTTCAGTTGATCTATCCTGCCCCTAGCCTGGACATATGGATTGTATCTACAAACACAGAACCAAAGTATTAGCAACTCCCCAGATTGTAGTTTCACGTATCCAGTATTGAAATTCTCATTCCTTTTCATAGAATAAAAACAATCCAGCCAGAACTTTTAACTTCAACATTAGTCATAAACAACATAACCGCTAATTAACCTATCAACTGTTCGACAAAATGCATCAAACCATACCTGGCCCGAATTGCGCGCATGCTAGTGGGCTCGTAGCCAGTGTAAGACTGAGTGCTGTACTCGAAGTCCGAGTCTGGCCCACCTGGGCAATACACGCATATATTCCCGGTGGTGGCGATGTGAGGGCAGCGGTGAGGTTTCGACATCACGGCCACGACGGCGATGCCCGAGGCGGTTCGAACCGGCTTGGCACGGAGTTTCGGGAGAAGAGCCTCCCGGTCCGACTCGGGCAGAGCCGCGATCATTTCGACCAGCTTCGGCGCACGTGAGAGGCCGTACTTCCGGCAGGCGGTAGTCTTCAGCGCGTTTAGGTCGACGTTTTGGCCTTTCCGGGAGAGGTCGACCATGGCGCTCACAATTTCGGCAATTGCTCGGACCCGGGCCTCTTCTTCGGATAGTCCATGGGCTTCGAACCCTCCCCGACCCGGTCGGGGTTGCTTTCTGGTGGGCTCGGATACTGCTAACACTTCAGTCGCCATGGGAGAGAAAAAGAGAGAGGTGAGGAAAGAAGGTTAACTGGAACCGCCGTTTCTATGCTTCAGCTCGAGTTTGTTAAGGTGTAACTAAAACCTTTATAAGTTTATTTTATTTTAATGAAATCTAATTATTTTCATGTGAAAAAAACTAATTAATTACATAGTTTACTTTTTGAGAAAATACTTTTCTATTTTTGTCTCCGGTAAAAAGTCTCCATGCCAGTTTCATCACCTTTTTTTTTTTGTCTGAACCACGAGGTGGTCCTGGATGGGCCCCAATTATGGGTGGCACCTTTAAACCTTAATCACAATCCAGACTAATCCCCGCTCACACCGGGTCGGCCCGTAAGGGGTAAAGTGTTGGCCAAAGTGGTGACTCCGTACAAGAGCAGGGATCGAACCTCTGACATCTCTTAAGAAATGAGAGTGCCGAACCACTCACACCAACCATCTTGGTTATCACTTTACTTTCCGTAGTTTCTATTTTATCAATTTTATTTATGTAGTTTTAAATTACAATAATTAAAAAACACATTATAAATAATATCAAGTTTCTTCAAATGGTTCAATTTATGTAGATTTAATAAAATTGACAAAATTAAAACTACGAAAACTAAATGATAAAACCGAAAAACTACAAGATCAAAAATTATGTTTTGCATTTATTTCCCTATCAAATTACATTAAGCTAAGCCTGTAAAACGGGCCGGGCCGGGTCAGCCCGGCCCTAAGAGGTGTGAGCCCAGGCCCTAACTAGTAACGGGCCTTTTCAGCCCTAAGGAGTTATCGGGCCGGGCCGGGCTAGCCCTATATCAAATATACAAAGCCCAGGCCCTACCCATGGGCCTAACATTTTCGGGCTTATGATCGGGCCAATGAGTCGGGCCAAAATTAGAAAATAAAACGCAGCGTTGAAGTCTTAATCGGTGTTCTTCCCGCAACTCCTAAATTTTCTGCCGCCCGAAAACAAAATTCTGGTGCGAGAAGCAGATTGTTGCAGAGCAACAAGCATGGAGAACGGTCCCAAGGAACAAAGCGAAGTAGAAGCTAAAGTACTTGACAAGGTCGGAGAAGTAATCTCAGACGTAAAGAAGGCCAAGCACGTAAACGAAGTGATTTGCGCGCTTCACTCCCTCGCTATTCTTCTCTTCCCTCTCGACGCCTCTCTTATCTCAGGTCACTCTCCCAACCTCTCACTTCTCCATTTCACCTTCGTCCACTGTCTTTCATTCTTGAATTTTTGAGCATGTGAACTGGTTGTTTGGTTTCCGAGAAAAATTGAACGAGAGAGTGTGGAAACAGAATCCGAAACCAAAACATTGAACAAATTTGACATCTTGTGTCGTTTTGTTTTGGTTAAAAGATTGATTTATTGCAAACTGACTGATGTGAAATGTGGAATTTCAGGTGCTATTGATGAGCGATGCAGAGAGCTGGTGTGTGTCGTTTATGTCACGAAATTTTCTCGAAATTTATTTATCGCAGCCAGTTTTCTGGAAATTTTATGCCTTTATGATTGTGTTTTGTGCAGGTACTTGGTGCCAAGGCTCCTTCGGCTGATGAGAGGAGCGAGTGGTGGCAAGTATTCTATGGAGGAGCTGCATTCTCGACATTTGCTCGGGTTCTGTTAATTGGTACTTTTATTAGCTCTATTCTCTACTGTTTATGCTGCTTTCTCCATTTTTGTTGTTGTTGGAAATCATGTATCTCCAGCTTTATTCTTTCACTTGTGAAATTCGAAAACTTTATTAGTTGGGGAAAAAGATACCATGTAAACCAGACAAACTACTAACACTCTAGGCCTGTAGAGAAGGGTGTTGATTCAGATGGAGGTTTGTGAAACCTAAAGATTATAATTGCTGGCTGATTTTCCTGAAGATTAGCTTGAGGAAAATTTGGCATCTCTTTCAGTGGTTTTGGTTGCAAATGTTTTTGTCTATTGACGGCTTGTTTTACATGTCTTTATATATTTTATGTTTTGTTGTTGCATGCAGATATTGCTTCCGACTGGCTAGCTTGCTTCCCCTTTTCAGCACGTAAACATGTCTATGATGTTTTCTTTGTTAATGGACTTGCCACTGAGGTTGTTCAGACCTTGGTCCCTTGTCTACATCAGAGTGGAAGTGACGATCTTGATGTTAAGGCTGTACACTCTAATACTGAAAGGTATGGGTTGAGGACCGGTTTCTGTCCAGTGGTTATTTATAACAATAAGAGGTCCAATTTGAAATATCGATGGTGACTATAGTCAATCTATTGAACCTTTTTTTTTTTTTTTTTACCATTACAACAGGTTACTCATACTTTGCTTGCTTGAAAGTAACGGGGTGCTCCAGATGGCTAGAGAATTCAGCAGTTCTTCCCATTCTGAAGATTATATAAATGAAAATCTTAAGCCAGCTGTATCTAGAGTAGCCCAGATCGTTGCATCTATACCTGACAAAGCACAATTGAGAGCCCCAACTTCGCTTTCATCACAGTATCCTTTTATGTCTTGTGCTGGATAATTGAGTCATATACTTGTTTAGGCTCTGGAAGAGTGTATGCTATGATGAGGGACATAACTTATTGTTCTATGTGAGCATTCTGGTAATCTGACATCAGAATGGCATTAGAAATATAATATGCCTACTTATTTGCAGTTGAATTTTTTTCTTTTCTGTTAATGCCATTTTATTGCTTTTCTTCACTGAAGTACTAAAGTTTTTTCTTCACTGAAGTACTAAAGTTTTTTCTTCAAGCAAGTTACCATCCAACTTCTTACTCTAGCAGAAGAAAGGAATATGAATCTATTAGAAGGAGCATGCCTTAAAAGTGACATGAATGGGACCTTACTATTTGTTGGGGAGATATTTTCTCGTGTATGTCGGCGTGGATCTGTAGGTAACTGTTATAATTTTAAGCACAGCAATTAAAAAGTGTTTGTGTAAAAAGAACAGGATTTCACTTATATGTTCCCCCTCATTTTGAAAAACTTACACTTCCAGAGTAGTTACTTATTTCCATCAAACAAAAGTGGAACCACCCCTATTATCTGGTTAATTGAGCATGACAATTGATATGCAAGAAGAGTATTCTGGTCAGTTGCCTTTGGATATGTAACCAAAGTGTTTTTCCTTTTTCACAGATGTGCTTTTAAGCGAAATAATTCCACGGGTTCTTAGTCATGTACGGAGCTTATTATCATTAAATATAGATCCACTTGTCTCGGATGTTTTCAAATCAAACCCCGGTTCCCAATTTTGGTTGAACATGATACAAGCTATGAAAGATTCTTATGCTGTGGAAAGAATATCTGAGCAGCTTTTACATCAGCTTGCAACTGAACGTTTGAGTGATGTTGAAGCCTACTGGATTCTTTGGCTATTATTTCATCGGGTTTCTAAATACCAGATATCAGTGAGGTCAGTGAATACTCTCTCTCTCTCTCTCTCTCTCTCTCTCTCTTTCTCAAATCAAGTGGACACATTTTAACTTCTAAGATTCAACTTCGCACTTGAAATCAAAATTGTTTTTGCAGAATGTTTTGTGGTGTGGCAAATTGTTTGGACATACTGAAATCTGGCCCAGATATAATTAGATGTGCCACCAGTTTCATCTTTGTTTTTTACAGCTATTAATTGTTTTACATTACCCATGGCATGCAAACAATGTGTTGCATATAAAAAGTTTTCCCAATTCTGACATATTACACTGATTGGTTATGGAAAATACTTTTTTTTTTGTCGCTCCAGGGTTGATCTTTTAAAAGTATCATTGATTTCCTGTTATATTAAGTGTTTAATTTTCAGCTTTCCTCTTTATTAGGGCAATGTTTGCTGACAAATTCTTACTCTGGAAAGTATTTCCTGTTTGTTGCCTGCGATGGATCCTTCAGTTTGCTGTTCTTGAATGCCCACCTGAAAGTAATTCACTTGCTAAAGGTCATAATACCCGAAATTTCTTAGACACATTGCAGCATCTGGTAGCAGTATGGTCTAATAAGGAGTTTGTGCAATCAGCCCCAACTGAGCAGCAAATTTGTATCCTTCTTCATTTGTTTGTCTAGCATCTGGTAGTAGTCTGCGATGAATGCTAATGATTCTTCTTGACTGAACTTTACAACGGGAAACCTTGTAGACTCTAAAAGCCTAAAGATTGATATGAAATACCTGATATATCATAAGTAGCTATTCTATAATAAATCTTGTTGCATTAAAGAAAATTTCATTGTTTCATTATGCTGCTTTTTGGATTTTGTTGCTCCTTAATCTTGTAATATCAGATGTATCTGCAGCTGTAGGCCTTTCCCTGGAAAAGATGTCTAAAGAGGAACTAGATGAGACTAAGGATGTGCTGCACTCAATTCTCAAAGGAGTGAGCTGTAAATTCTTTTCCCCATCTCTATTGGTATGGTGTCTTGCAATGTTGGTGGTCAGTATCTTCCGGTTATATCTTGTCTTCTTTGCTGGCAGGTAGGCTGGAAAGCCCTAATAATTTGATTCGGAAAATGGCCAGCAGTGTCGCCTTAGCTTTCTCCAAGGTGATTGACCCAAAAAATCCTCTATACCTTGATGATAGCTGCACTGGGGATACTATCGACTGGGAATTTGGGTTGTCTACCCCTGAGAAAGGGACTCCTGAACAGGGTATTGACAAAACTGAAACATCTACTACCTCAGTTCTAGAAAAGGGCTTCACCCACAAGGGCAATGATGAGATAGCAAGCAATGGGAAGAGTAAAAATAAAAAAATAACTGAATCTAAGTTGGTTGATCCAGACGAGATCATTGATCCAGTTACACTAAATTACGAATCGGCCTCTGATGAAGATGACAATGATGATGCTAGTGAGAATTCCGATGTCTCGAGTGACTCATCTTTACAGCCATATGATTTGGCAGATGATGACACAGATTTGAAAAGAAAATTTTCACAGTTGGTTGATGTGGTTGGGGCACTTCGGAAATCTGATGATGCTGATGGGGTAAGTAAACTAAGTACATTAGTTTAATTCTTGTCAAATGTTTTTCTTACAATAATCACTAGTAAACTAAGTTTGTGCTGTAGATGAGATTGACCTTTTGGTGCAGCTTATGAGATCTATAGGTAAAACATTAGACAAGCTGGATGAATATTGTCCTTGGCTCGTGTACAGATACAAAAATAATTAGGGAGTGGGTATGAAACAATGGTTGGATTGCCAGAGTGCAGTGATTCCCTGGCAGTCAGCTTTGAAAATTTGGTGTACCAAATTCTCTTCTGGACCGTTACATTTATTTTCATATTGCAGGTGGAGAATGCTCTTGCTGTTGCTGAAAAGCTTGTCAGAGCATCACCTGATGAGCTTAAGCATGTAGCAAGTGATCTTGTCAGAACTCTAGTTCAGGTTCGTTGCTCTGACTTGGCTGTAGAAGGTGAGGAAGATTCAGCTGAAGACAAGAGACAGAGAGCATTGGTTGCTTTGCTTGTCACATGTCCTTTGGAATCTCTTGAGACTTTAAACAAACTACTATATTCACCTAATGTGGATGTCAGTCAACGCATAATGATACTTGATGTCATGACTGAGGCTGCTCAGGAGCTTGCTCATACTAAAATTATAAAGCCTAAACAGGCTACGGCCCTCATAGCAACCACGTCAGAGACCCAAGCTTGGTTCTTGCCAAGCGACATAGGGCCCCCTGGATCTGGTCCCTGGAAAGAGATTTCAGAATCAAGATCTTTACTGAATTGGACGAATCGTTATGAGAGGGAACTTCCTTCAAAACCTGGTCAGATTAAGAGAGGCAAAACGCGGCAATGGAGCCTAAGATCAGCAAATAAACAAGAAGCCCAATTAGAATGGTCCCATAATAAGTTTCCGGTGTATGCAGCAGCATTTATGCTCCCTGCCATGCAGGGCTTTGATAAGAAAAGGCAGGGTGTTGACTTGCTTGATAGAGATTTTATCGTCCTGGGAAAGCTCATCTATATGCTTGGTATTTGTATGAAATGTGCAGCCATGCATCCAGAAGCCTCTGCACTGGCTGCCCCTCTTCTAGATATGCTAAGATCCAGGTACTGACTGCAAAATATCTGTGAGAATGAAATGATGATTAGGTTATGATATTCTAATAGCAGCTTCCCCATTGCATATATACATTAAACTGTATTTATTTCACTAAACCCTGTTGTTTTAACCTTCATGCAGGGAGGTATGTCTTCACAAGGAAGCTTATGTTAGAAGAGCTGTTCTTTTTGCAGCTTCATGCGTATTGCTATCTCTTCATCCCTCTTATGTAGCAACCTCCTTAGTTGAAGGAAATGTCGAAATTTCGAACGGGCTTGAATGGGTGCGCACGTGGGCGCTTCAGGTAGCTGAATCAGACAATGATAGAGAGTGCTATACGGTAAACAACTAATCCTAAAGCTCCATAAGGGAGGCCTATACTCCCCACCCTGCCCCGCCCCTCTGAAACCTTTCTCCATTCAATGCCATATCACTTTCTTCTTTGTTTGATTGTTTTTAATTGCTGCAACGTTGATTTAATTTACCTATGCCACCGTGAGTCCGTGACCGGTTGTTGACATGTATTTTTTTGTGTCGTAGATGGCTATGGCATGCCTACAAGTCCATGCTGAGATGGCCCTCCAAGCTTCACGAGCACTAGAGTCAACAGAAGCTACATCCATTTCGAAGAATGTCGGGCTTCCTTCCAGTCTGTCCAAAGGGACAATTATAATCCCACAATCCAGTGTGAAATACCAATAGTTTATTGATTTTGTTCACCGAAAAGAAAATTTTATATTAAGTCAGCCTTTTTGTAACCTGTTTTGTACAGTTCATGCCACTAATTGATATCGCTATTTTGTAAATGCTGGTTTCCTACATTTTTTGTTGATTATTTTTTCAATCCACATAACTTGGGATTGAGTATGTAGTCATTCTATGGAACCTACAAAATTACTTCGGTTTTGTCACAATAAAAGAAATCTCAAATTTCCATTCACTATCACCGATGGAGCTAATGGCTACAAAATTACTTTTAAATGACTAATTATTGAATTGATCACTTTTATCAAATTCTAAACTAATTTTTTAAAAAAATGAACCCACCAGTTGCTGCCACGTCAAATGTGGCCCACAAACTTATGGCCCAGTAGCTGATTCATCAAGACATAAATGGGACGAAATTAGATTCAATCAACCCATTGGACTGAGGCCACTTCATAATCTGTCATAACATTTAATTCAAAATTCAATATGATGAAAGATATGACATTAATATATTAATTTTTAATATAAATTATTATAATATTATATTTAATATGTTAACGTTTTGATTTTTTCGAAAGTAAGATTAATATATTAGTGAGAAACAAGATGAAATGTAAATATTATACAATATGAAAGTATATTAATGTGTATATTGGATTGGTTCGGTTTAGGTTGGATTTTCAATTCTTGATCCGCCATCCGATCCAATCCAATTGGATTTCTATTTTTCTAATCCAATCCAATCCATCAATGTTGTCGAAACCAATGAAAATTGGATTGGATTGGATTGGATTGGTCGGTTTTAGTGGATTGGTTTGGATCCTGCACAGCCCTAGAGCTAATGGCTACAAAATTACTTTTAAATGACTAATTATTGAATTGATCACTTTTATCAAATTCTAAACTAATTTTTTAAAAAAATGAACCCACCAGTTGCTGCCACGTCAAATGTGGCCCACAAACTTATGGCCCAGTAGCTGATTCATCAAGACATAAATGGGACGAAATTAGATTCAATCAACCCATTGGACTGAGGCCCCCACCGCGCCACCATCACCATTGCCATGGCCGCTGTCTCCAAGCTCCTCTCTTCCATCCTTCCCTCAAAATCATCACCACCACAGCCATCACCATCATCATCAAACCTTCCTCTGCCACCACGTGTCTCTTTTCCCAAAACCCCATCTTGGAGGGTCCCACTGGTGGCCACCTGGACCCCGTCATCAACTCCTTCTTCCTCATCTTTAGCCAGTATATTGTGGCCCTCATTCGCATACTCAAACACCCTCTTCTTCAAATCAGCGTACAACGTTCAGATCGTAGTGCAAGACAACGATTCCGAGGAAAAGCTTGTTGGGAGGTTCAAAAAGGAGGTTCTGAGGGCTGGTGTGTTGCAAGAGTGCAAGACCAGGAGGTTCTTCGAGAACAACCGGGAGAAGAAGAAGAGAAAGACTAGACAGGCTGCCAGAAAGAACCGCAAAAGGTTTGCACTTTTTGCCTCTCTTCTTTTCTTTTTTTCTATTTGGTAACTACTGCATTTGGGCTTGTTTTGTTGCCGAGAAAGTGAAAGGAAACAAGAGAGATTTTAGGATAGCTGGGATGTTGTGTTTATTGTTATGTGTTTTGCAAAGATTTCTTTTGATTTGCCCTTGTTTTTTTGCTTGGAACAACTTATCTTGGCGGCCTCTCTCTATATGTTAGCCTTTTTGGAGATTGAGGGTGTCATTGAGTTTTGCTTCTCTTCAATCTGTCTCCTGTATTGTGAAATTTTTGCTTGCTTTGTGTTTTGAGAAAACCTGATTCATGGGTATCTCTTGACAATGATCTTCTCACTTCTATATGCTTTACTCATTTTCAGGTATCCACAATCAAAAGATCCAAGGCAGGACAAACCGGAAGCAAGGATAAACGACGACAATGAAGACGATAACTGGGACTACAATGTAGAACTTCCATATCATTGATATGTAAGGACCTTTGACATCCATACTGTTATTGGAGATCAAATGCCTGCACCCTCAATATATTTAGAGGGTTTGATTTATGTTCAAACTCTTCTTTGGCGGTATGAATCATAGATACCCAACTTGAGCATAGGAAGATAGACAATGAAATCAAAATTCAGAATGTATTGGCTTTTATAAGAGATTGCTTTTACCTCAACCTCTTGACGAGAATCATCACAATCTACCATGCCCTGTAGTTGGGTTCAAATCTGTGCACTATAATACTTCAAGTAACTTCTTTTGCATATCCAAAAAAGAAAAAAAAAACATCTTCTTGTTCGATTATCAAGGCTAAATTGTAATTAGCAACAAGTTTAGGGAAATCAAGAGTAAACTAACATTTTAGTGACAGCTCTAAGTTGCAGTCGCAATTAGCTACATCAAATCTCTAAGCAAAATACAGGCCAGTCAAAAGGGAGCCAGCATCTATAATTTTGAGGCTTTTCTTTCTCACTAACCAAAGGTTTCTCAATATACGCTTCTACTGTGGCGCTTAATCATCCTAGGGAACCAACATTATACCTACATTACCTTGATATATCTCATTCACTTAGGCACTATGATCGGCTGACCCAATCTACAAGAACATTTACATCAAGTCAACAAAAACCTATGGACTTTCCCTTCACTGTTAAGTATATGCACATCACTCTGAAGAGGAATATAGTTGCTGGCAGAAACACTCCAAGCCTTCAGGGGTAAACCAATTTTTTGTCATCTGCAATTCCCACAGAAAGGTAGAGCTTGTAACAGATAATATATGAAAGCTGCATCTTAGAATAAACATATGATGAGATGAAAACTTACAAAGTATGGGTAGCCGCCCTCAATGCTGAAATTCTCAGGAGCACCCTCAATGAACAAATTGATGTAGTAGAGAACAAAGTTACCGCATTCTACATCATTTCTCTGTTGTGGCACCTGAAAATTTCCCTTTTCATGTAAATTTTTTCTAATATGAAAGTAGAAAGTCACAAAGAGAATGTTAAGAACATAGAGAGTCACAAAGAGACTGTTTAGGTCACCTTTGGAACCAAGAAAGGAATTCGATAGATAAAATCTTTGGTCTCGGACCTGCCCTCTGCTTTATAAATGTCTAGTACAAATCTGAAAACAATGATAAACAAATGTCAAACAGCCAATTAGGACTGTGGCCCCAAAAAAGAACAAACAGGATACATAATTTGCTACAGAAAATCATACCTTCTTATATCTGGTTCATACCGCCTTGGATCTGCGTTTTCAAGAGAATCAAGCAACAACATGCATGGTTTATGGGTTTCTGATTGCTCACTCTCACCAAAATGGCAAAAGATTAATAGGTTCCAGTGACTCCTGAAAAGGCAACATTTTGGAAAAGAAAATGTTAGAACTCTGAGCATTGAGTGAGTGAATGGAAAGATTTTAGCTCAAGGTAATGGTAGATAGCTACCAGCAAACGATAGGAACAATGACATATTTCTTTGAGAAAATATGCTTCTTCTTAATCCAGGTCAGCACCTTGTCTCTGGAGGATGGTTGCAAGTACAAGCTAAACCACATACAGTCAAGGTACGTGAAAGAAGTCCTCTTATCCTCTGATAAATTCTTCCATAAGTTCCTACACATTCCAAACAAATTTCAAAATCCAATACGACTATAAAATTACGCCTACTTTTTCACAGAGCCTTACTCAAAATTAGGACTTACTGAAAGTAACGATCAAATGCTTCAGAGCCTAGCTTTTCTTTACTATCAAATGCTTGAGAGTCTAGCTTTTCTTTTTTTCTTGAGACTGCATGCTTGGCATCCTTGGGTGGTCTCAGTTCTTTCGTATATTCTCTTTTCCCTTTCCTCTTCAATCTCTCACCACGATGGAAGCGGCAAGGGAATTCTAAAAGGCACGGGTATCTCTTCTTTATCAGTTCAATATCTTTTAGGGCTAATTTCTTTTTTTGAACTATCAAATAGGCGAAGACGTGCCTCCAACACGAGCGATGTGTTGACACCTCATGTCTGAAAAGCTCTGTTGGAGTACAAACACCATAACCCATCAAGCGTTCACCAATATGAACGCAATAAGTAGCAGAAAAACAAAGCGTACAACAAAACTTCAACCAAAAAGATTCAATCTTTAATCTAAAATCCATGAAAAGACCAGCTTGCAAGGGGAGCTTATATACTAGCCCAAAATGTCATTGTGGGAGATTGTTATCTTAACATCTTAAAAAAGATTTAATTTTTAATCTAATTTCCATCCATTTTCCCTTATCTATTTCTCAGCTCTGTGATCTCCACTCTCCTCTCTCTCTCTCTCTCTCCCATATTTACCATTTGCCTCTTTAATCAAAAACAAAAACTTCATCTCATTCTTGAAAATTCCAAAGAAGAAAAATTAAAGATTGAAACTTTGAAACTTTAAACAATGATCATTTGCATGTTGAGTAGGAAATAGCAGGAAAGCAAAAGAAATAGTGAAGGAGATAAAATTGGCAACAGCACAAGAGTTAAGACAAAGATGGGCTTTGTGGGGAAGGACTTACCTGAAATTGGAGAGTCGAGGTCGGAAGAGTCGAGGTCCAGGTCGATGATAGCGGGTCCTTTGTTTTTGTTTGGCTTTCTCTTTGACATTTGAGACAACAAACACAGAGCTTGGAAAGCTCTCTTTCCTTTTCTTCTTCTTCTGGAGTGTGGAGGGAGAGAGGGTTGGAATTCGGAGTGTTAGAGAGATTTCGTGTAGTACTGATTGCTGGAATATGGACCGTTGATCTGGTGTACTAATATCAAAGAGAATAGAGAGGTTTTTAGCACATTAAGGACTCATTTCAATAGATTTATATGTAAGCTAAGAGGAGAGGGTAGTTGCATTCGTCTTTAGTTTTTTTTTTTTTCTTCTTTGATCTAATCCAAGTGTTTTAGTTGAAGCTTATTCATTTACTTGCCTTTTCTTATCATGGAATGAAATTCGATACTAGATTGGTTGTCCATTGCTTTATGCAATGTGCTTAATAGAATGATCATGATCAATAATTTTTTGTAACCCAACCAAGTGATCATGACCAATTTAAAAGGTTTTGTTGAAATTATAATATACTATTCATTGACATTATTTACTTTTTTTTAGGTCGAATAATCATATTTACTTTAAAGATGAGGTTTCAAGTTTGAAACTTTATCTTTCAATATCGTTTGATCACAAGTCAACATTATTTCTCCTTAGAGCGTAAATAAGCCGTTGAGATTGGCACATTAAAATTTAAATCAGGTAATGATTGATTTAGTTTGGTTAATTTAGGGACAAATTGGATGAAGTTAATCAATTAATGATCGATTCAGGCAAACTAATTTGTTTTTTTTACTACATGTAATAGTCTAAATTAGAGGGGAGAGAGATTTCTCATACACACAAATGATGTCATGGGGGTTCGAATCTGAGACTTCTTGTCTGTAAGTCAAGGCCATTTCCCACCCCGCTGGCAATTTGGCTTAAGTAGTTTTTAAATATGTCAAACCAATTGTCGAACCATAATTGCAATTTGATTTGATTAACTTTTAAAATTAGACTTTGAACGTGTAAACGTGGGTTAGGTCAGTTGGTCATGATAGTGAGTTTGTTATATGTGAGTTAGACTAAATTTGACACACATACTAATAATCAAATTATCTCTTCTTTTTTTTTCTTTTTTTTGGTCAAGTTTTTTTTTTTTTTCTCACATTAACTTATCAATCACTCTCTATTTTTGGCCAGAAATTACCAGTTACACTTGATTTTTTTTGTTGGTCTGATGCCAGTTACACTATATAGCACACACACAAAATAATACGCACACAAAACGCAACACAGGCATACAGTCGTTCGCTTCCTCCTCCTTCAAGAAAAGCACAAAGAAAAGCCCAACGCAGACTACCAGTTACCGATCCGCCATGGAAGGCCAAGAAGGACCTCAGCAACCGCACCTCGTGCTGGCTAACAAGCTCTTCCTTCTCTCCCACCCTGATGTCCAAGACATCGAGAAGGTCCAACTCAGAGAGGAGGTTTTCGCTTCCGTCAAAGCCGACGGTAAAATAGCAGATTTTCACTAATTTCCACCTAATTTTACATTTTCGTTGTACCAATTTAGGTTTTACGTAACAGGTATTGGGTTCTGTTTTGTGTTTTTGTAGATATGGCACCGTTGTACGAAACTCTAGTCTCTGAATCGGTGCTGCCGTTGGACCAGAGCGTTTTGGACTCGATGCGCGCGAAGATCCAGGACGAGCTCAAGAAGCTCGACGAAAAGTGAGTTCGTATTTAGTTTTATTTTTCCTGATTTTGATCCAGGTTCTGTTTGGTTAACTGAAAATTATGAGGAAAGAAGCTAGGGTTTGAAATGTGTGCTTTAGAATCTTCAGTCTTACACCCCCTCCGCCTTGTGTGTTTGTAAATACGAGATTTCACTATTATGTAGACAACTTGTTGAATTAGTTTTACACAGGTGGTATAGTTTTGTGAGATTGGATGCTAATAGAGCATGAGTTCTCTGTTGAATTCTTTGTAGACAAGTGGGGGTTTTACAGTGAATTAAGTAGAATGACAAAATGTGCTTGAGTTGTCTAGTGTGAAAATCATTGCCATAAGTAACGTTGTTGTAGTCATTGTGATCAAATAATTTCCTTTACTTTCAAGTGAAGTGACTTATCTGGTTGGATTTTTAGGATTGCTGATGCCGAAGAGAACTTGGGCGAAAGTGAGGTTCGAGAAGCCCATCTGGCTAAGTCCTTGTTTTTCATTCGTATTGGTGACAAGGTAGATAAGTTGTAACTTATTTGTTCTACTAGTCAATTCTGCTTTGTACTTTTCCTTTCTACTGTTATGTCTCAATTTGATTCAGACTTCTTCACTTATGAACCTAGGAGAAAGCATTGGAACAACTCAAGGTAACAGAAAGCAAAACAGTTGCAGTTGGGCAAAAGATGGACTTGGTATTCTATACACTGCAACTTGGTTTCTTTTACATGGATTTTGATCTCATTTCAAAGAGCATTGACAAAGCGAAGAAGTAAGTACTGGTGACATGGATTTGTCAGCTACATATTTTGGTTATATTGTTTAAATTTGGTAGTTGAGCTTTGTTTGTAACCATTGCATCATGATGGCAGCTTATTTGAAGAGGGAGGTGATTGGGAAAGGAAGAATCGTCTGAAGGTCTATGAAGGCTTGTACTGCATGTCTACTCGGAATTTTAAGAAGGCTGCTGATTTGTTCTTGGATTCCATTTCTACCTTCACCACTTATGAAATATTTCCGTATGATATCTTCATATTTTATACTGTCCTTACGAGCATTATATCGTTGGACAGAGTTTCTTTGAAACAGAAGGTATAAAGTTGTGTTACTGCATCTTGTGATTTCACTTTCTTGTTTTATATGTTTCTTCCATTTTGTTATGTGATTTGCTGGCTTATGAGAAATTTAATTTAATTTAATTTTTTACCACATATGTCGCAGGTGGTGGATGCTCCTGAGATATTAACAGTGATTGGGAAAATCCCCTACCTTACAGAATTTTTAAACTCTCTATATGAATGCCAATACAAATCTTTTTTCGCAGCATTTGGTAAGTGGATAACTAATTTAATTTTATAATGTGGTTCACTTTTGAATGTTTCTGAGCTATCTGACCTTCTATTTGTTCTAGTAATATTTCAACCAAATTAAATAGATTTCATAGTTGTGGTTGGTCTTTCCTATTTTGTATTCCAGCTGGCCTGACAGAGCAGATAAAGTTGGACCGTTATTTGCATCCACACTTCCGATATTACATGAGGGAGATCAGAACTGTGGTTTATTCCCAGTTCTTGGAATCCTACAAGAGTGTTACTATTGAAGCAATGGCGAAAGCATTTGGCGTGACGGTTGATTTCATTGATTTGTAAGTGGCTATCATATAGTTCTGATCCTTGACTAGAGTTTTACTTTATATTCTTTTAGTTCTGATCCTTGACTTTGTGCCGAGGCAGTTGTTAAGCATTTCACATGTCTTCCCCATAATTCTGACCCATTCTGCATATACAGGGAGCTGTCTCGTTTCATTGCGGCAGGGAAGCTTCATTGCAAGATTGACAAAGTTGCTGGTGTTCTAGAAACTAACCGCCCTGATGCTAAGAATTCTCTCTACCAAGCAACAATCAAGCAAGGGGATTTCTTGTTAAACCGGATCCAGAAGCTGTCTCGTGTTATTGATCTGTAGGGCAGGGCTTTCCTGCATTTTGAAAGTGATCCCAAAAAACTTCAGATCATAGCAACTGGTGCCTTTTCACTTTTCTTTTGACGAACTAAGTTGGTTTTCTCTTTTTCTCCAAATTTATTAAAAACTCAAGTACTTATCTTCAGGTTCCATTTTTATATTCGAACTGCTATTGATGGTGATTGTTTGAGTGTATGGATTTTCAAGTCTAAAGTGCCATGGCTACAAAAGCGTAGACTGTTCTTAATTCTTACCGTTGGCTTAGTGTCATTAAATGGGTGAGACACGTAATGCAATCCGACGAGGTCGATTGCAAAATAAGGTAGCTTGATCCAATACAACCCCAAATACAGCAATACAACCTAAAACAATTCAACATCATTAATAAAAGAATACACTGCAACCCTCCTTTTATCTTTCACTTTGAGAATGGAATATCATAAGGAATAGCAACGGCTTCGGGAGGATGCTCTCTGCGTTTGGTTAAACCAGTAGTCTCAGTCATGTCTAAATTTTCTGCTCTTGCTCCAACAGGCAATGCCCACTTGAACTTGTGCACAAGATTTGCCAAAGCAATCTCATTCACGGCCATGCCGAACTGAATTCCTGGGCAGCCTCTCCTGCCAGCTCCAAATGGAAGAAACTAAAAGTCATTCCCCTTATAATCTACACCGCTGTTCACGAACCTTTCAGGGTCAAACTCCTCTGGTTTGTTGTAGGACTTGGGATCTCTTCCAATTTGCCACACATTGACCAAAACTTGTGTCTTGGATTCAATGTTGTAGCCGTTTATTTCCACATCTCGGGTCGACACCCTGGGTAAGTGAAGAGTCTCCTTGATCACTGCCTTCAAGTAGTGCATTTCAACCACATCATCCCGGTAATTAGGTCTGTTTTGTTTCCGACTATCCCCTTTACCTAGTTCTACAATTTGTTCATGACCCTTGGATGCCTTAGAAGCTCAGTCATCGCCCACTCTAGGATTGTATGCGTGGTGTCAGTGCCAACATTAAGCATATCCTGCAAGAACATTGATTAACGAGTTAATTAAAGTTGTTAATCAATTAGCCTCTAAGTTCTCTCTCACACAATGTTTAATTACTTACCAAGAGGAGAGCCTTATGCTAACTCTATCAATTGGAAGACCAACCAAGTTTTCTTTCTGAATGTCAAGCAAAACTTCCACCAAATCCTTCTGTTCTTCGTTCTCGATGCGAACCTGGCCACCATCACTTCCACTCTCTGAACTACGATCCATATATTCTTGAACCACTGCATCTAAGAAGTCATCAAACTGTTTGGCCACCTTGTCCAACTTTGCATCCAAACCATTAACACGAGTCAACCAAAGCAAGAGATGGGATATAGTCCCCAATGCACACACAGCATCCCAATAGCTTTGTGAACTCCTCCAAAAGCTCCTTAACCATCTTCCCACTACCAACTATGGTACAAGACTTGTGCTGTACTTCCTAACCAGAGCCACTCTACACACCACATCATTCGTAAGCATCACGAACATTTCGCTTAAATTCAACCCTACTGATGATGATGCTGAGTGCTTAGCTATATCAACTAGGTTTCCTCTTCTCTCGTGCCACAAAAAGACCGAACCTTTTTGCTGCTCAAGAGATTCAAGACACATATGCTCTTCACCAGCCTCCAGTACTCTCCATAGGGCGCGGTTGAGATGTCCTTGTAGTTGTAGAAGAGCTTCTCATAGATGGTGGACTTGGGACGGTCAGAGAATGTGAGGTCATGGGTTTTCATGATCTCCCGGTCAGCCTCAGCTGAAGAGGCCACAAGGACTGGGACACTTCCGAAATGGAGAAGCATGAGAGGCCCGGGACGTGCGGAAGCTTAAAATACATAAGTTGATGAGCTTAAAATAATGCATAATGGCAGTGCAAGTTTTATTGCTTTTTAGAAAGTGCCAACAAAAGCCAGGGTCTGCTCTTAGTATATAAACTAATGACCAATAATGACCTTTATTTTCTTTAATTTAGCATCTTATTTACTTAATATTACATTTTCAGCAAGCTGATTATGAATATGGACGTGCACATGCCCCTCAAGACTTGGGATGGTGACACCTTCCTTGGACGTGCAAATTGCAAGAAACTCAGAGGCTTCCCGACTCGCCGATCTGGCCACCGCGTCAGGAAGGGGGGAGGCCAGCATCATTATGGTCATAAATAGAGGAGCACCGGGCTTTCCAGATGTTCCAGCACACAAAGGAGGCATGGTTTCCATGTTTGTGACATTTTTCCGTTGTGTGGTGCAAAACGTTACACAATCACATCATCCCATTTTCATATCCTCGTTGAGTTGTGCTATAGTTAGGCACCCACACTTCATTGAGAATTTGGTGTTTCATTTTTTATCAAAAAACCAAACGAATATGAATCGCCTTGGATATCAATTTGGTTTGGTTTGGTTTACATCATTATTCTTTTAACGAAATTGATGGAACCCAACATTGATGGAACCCAACATGTGCACAATCCAAATTTCTTAATTTTGATTTGACACACAACAAAGCTTTGAAACAATACGACACAAACAATTTGAAGTTTTGGAACAACATACACGGCAAGTGAACACTGTTCACCCTATTCTACAACCACAAATATTATTTCAATTTTGTTTGACACCAATCTTTATATTTCGTTTGTGTTTTTAAACTAAATACAGGAAAACCAAACCAAGTTTTCTTACATCATTATTCTTTTAACGAAATTCATGGAACCCAACATGTGCACAATCCAAATTTCTTAATTTTGATTTGACACACAACAAAGCTTTGAAACAATACGACACAAACAATTTGAAGTTTTGGAACAACATGCACGGCAAGTGAACACTGTTCACCCAATTCTACAACCACAAATATTATTTCAATTTTGTTTGACACCAATCTTTATATTTCGTTTGTGTTTTTATACTAAATACAGGAAAACCAAACCAAGTTTTCTTTCTGAATCCAAAGCAGAAAGTTGACTAATCGTAGATAGGGGTTAGGATTAAGGTAGTTAACTAATGAGCCACCCATCCTTACAAGATAGATAATTAATGAAAACAACAGTATTAGGGTTGAACTTTGTAACACATACATATAACGGTCTCTACTCCGAATCCGATTTCAATTTCAATTTTGTGTCATCAGTTGGTGTTATAAATTGAAAGAGAAAAATGAGCAAAACTTTAAGAGAAACTTCATTAGATAAACTTCAAAGTTTAATTCATCGACAAATCTTTCAACCACTTTGTAAATCTATTGACCGCATTCTTGTATATATCACTCTCATACGTGCCATTCAAGAAATTGTGGAACCACAAAACAGAGTTCTTGGGGATACGAGTGTAGTTTCTGTTGAAATCAAAACTTTAAGAGAAACTTTATTAGATAAATTTCAAAGCTTAATTCATCGACAAATCTTTCAACCACTTTGTAAATCTATTGGCCGCATTCTTGTATATGTCACTCTCATACGTGCCATTCAAGAAATTGTGGAACCACAAAACAGAGTTCTTGGGGATACGAGTGTAGTTTCTGTTGAAATCAACGTAGTAAAGCCCAAATCTAGTCCTAAACCCCATGCCCCATTCAAAATCATCCATTAGAGTCCAATGGAAGTATCCTTTGACATTCACTCCATTCCTGCAATATATTTCATTTAGAAATGAGGCAGACATATTATCTTTGCTTTAATGTACTACTTCAACACTAGATTATGATGTTGATTAAGAAATGTTAATCACTTACTTAATCGCCTTGTTGAGTCGGTACAAGTGACGAACAACATAGATAATTCGAGACACGTCGTTTAATTGTACATTAAGGTCAAGAGCATCATTCCTGACACCAGCAATTCCTGCAAAGGGCAACAAAAAAAAAAAAAGCCCACAAGATTGAGATTATAATTCATGATAGGATGTTATGTATATGAATCATTTACATTAGTAATTTAATTAAGTGATTAATCAAACCGTTTTCAGCAATGTAGACTTTGGGGTTATTGTAGTTGTCCTTTATATAGTTCATCAATTTCTCCAGCCCTTCTGGCCAATTTCCATGTCCCTGCAACACAAGGAAAATTTAAGGGTCAAGCAATTTTATTCTAAGGTCTGAGCATCAACTAATAAGATTAGAATTTAGAATTTTCTTACCAATCCAGGAGCATCTTTGCCATCTGCAACAATCAAACCATCAGCATCAGGATCAGATTATTACAGTTTAGAACGTATATAAACTCAATGACATATTATTTAAAAAAAATTATTATTAGCTTTGTTGAGCGAGAAAAACTTGCATATCCCGAGTGTATACATCCATGACACCTTAGTTTTTCTCCTTGCAAGTGAGATAAATTACCTATGATTTCGGCTGCTACGTCGAGAGTGTAGCGCAACACTTCATTTGAAGATGGTGGCTTATTTTTAGCATAACTTGATGCGTAATAATTTATCGCAAGAAAATCTAAACTTCCCTTAACCATCACTTTCTCTTCTTCAGTAAACTCAGGCAGCCTCTCCTTCACCAACTCTCTCATGCTTTTTGGATACTCTCCAAACACAAATGGATCCATAAACCTAATGCAAATTAAGTAAGAATTAATTGTTACGAAATGCGCCGTACAAATCACTTAAAGCATCCAAATCAAGAGATTGAGTGGTAATTTGTACTTACCATCCTATTAATTAAGTGATTAATCAAACCGTTTTCAGCAATGTAGACTTTGGGGTTATTGTATTTGTCCTTTATATAGTTCATCAATTTCTCCAGCCCTTCTGGCCAATTTCCATGTCCCTGCAACACAAGGAAAATTTAAGGGTCAAGCAATTTTATTCTAAGGTCTGAGCATCAACTAATAAGATTAGAATTTAGAATTTTCTTACCAATCCAGGAGCATCTTTGCCATCTGCAACAATCAAACCATCAGCATCAGGATCAGATTATTACAGTTTAGAACGTATATAAACTCAATGACATATTATTTTAAAAAAATTATTATTAGCTTTGTTGAGCGAGAAAAACTTGCATATCCCGAGTGTATACATCCATGACACCTTAGTTTTTCTCCTTGCAAGTGAGATAAATTACCTATGATTTCGGCTGCTACGTCGAGAGTGTAGCGCAACACTTCATTTGAAGATGGTGGCTTATTTTTAGCATAACTTGATGCGTAATAATTTATCGCAAGAAAATCTAAACTTCCCTTAACCATCACTTTCTCTTCTTCAGTAAACTCAGGCAGCCTCTCCTTCACCAACTCTCTCATGCTTTTTGGATACTCTCCAAACACAAATGGATCCATAAACCTAATGCAAATTAAGTAAGAATTAATTGTTACGAAATGCGCCGTACAAATCACTTAAAGCATCCAAATCAAGAGATTGAGTGGTAATTTGTACTTACCATCCTAAGTAGAAGTCGAAAAGTCGATTTGCTGCATCTTGATCTTCTTGTGATTTTGAAAAAGGCACATAATATGGTGTAACAAGCACAATTCCAACTTCACCTTTTTGTTTTGCCTGCAAGATGATCACATTCAAACCAAGCTTTAATAAGACTGGTTCTACTTCCCTAAAAAATAGAGACAAAAGAAAACAAAAATGTTTGTAATTTGATCAAAATGTGGTTTGATATAACATTTGAACTCATGACCTCCTCTAATAGCGAAGAATACCTGGTATTTTTCTCGGTAGAGCTTAGCCACGTTGGCATGAGCAAGAATGAGGTTATGGGCTACAACGTAAGGTTCAGTGGATGAGTTACCACCAAAGTTACACGGACCTACTGTCATTAAACATTTCCCTGGAACTGGAGATTTAAATACACATATATCTTTTGGAAGTGAACACCTCCCTGGTGGGGCAATCCCCAACTCATAACCATAAGATGCAATAATTCTTGGTTCATTAAATGTGAACCAATGTTTAACTCTGTCTCCAAATAATTTGAAACAAAGTTCACTATAGTCTCTAAAGTCATCCCTGCAACAGAGAACAAACATATATGAGTTTTAGTTTATGCTTCTTTCCTTCTTTATTCAAGGGTGGTTGTGAGTCGTTGATGCATGAACGATTGAATCTAGCATAATAAACATGAGAGAAAGTTATCAAAGGACTTTCGAAAAACGAAATACTTACACAAATGAGCGATTCAAGTAACCTCCATATTTGTCTTCGACGGCTTGTGGCAGGTCAAAGTGTAAAATTGTCACAAAAGGTGTGATTCCTATACATTATCAGAACACACCCACACAAAAATGCATTAAAGCAAACACATAATATTAGTGGAATAACACATTTTAGGATTCAGAAATTTGTAGCGTAATTCTTACCATTTTTGACTAATTCATCAATCAAACTGTTATAGTGATCAACACCCTCTTGGTTAATTCCGCCACTTAAGCTTCCATCTATGTAAGATCCATCAAAATTTTATTATAAAATCATAATCAATACTACTACGTAATTCCTATTAAAAAAAAAACCCTACTTGGCAAGATCCTAGTCCACGAGATGGAGAATCGGTAAGAATTTACTCCAAGGTCCTTGATGAGCAAAATATCCTCCTAAAGTGCAGAAAATTTCATAAAACATATGAGAAATTGGATTGGACATTTGAAGGATGTTTTCTCATTAGCTAATTACCTTGTATCTTTTATATCCATCAACTGCTGAAACGAATTTTTCACTGTTCATAATTGTATCTGTAATTAAAAATTGTAAGTCTTTTATCTAATATTTAAATGTTGGTAATTTATGAATAAAAGATAATTAAATTTAATTATGTGAACCTGGGAGTATTTTAGCACGATAGTCCCAAACACTTTGTCCCCTCCCTCCTTCATTGGGCGACCCTTCAGTCTGCACACAATACATATTAAAATACGCACACTTGGTTTTATTTAATTTAATTTAATTTATTAAAATTATAACATGTACCTGTGCAGCAGCAGTACCAACTCCAAAAATAAAATCACTTGGAAAGTCTGATTTGCTAATGTTCAGTTCTTCAAGAAATGTCGAACTACTTAAATTCACCTGAAGTGTGAATGCCCCTGCTGTCACATTTGCTAAAACTGCAACAACAAAAATATCATCCACCATATATAATCAGCTAAAGATGCTTTAATTAGGACACTAACATAACATTTCTATAAAATTCGTATATAACTTTCAAATTATTAGTGCAAGTACAGCAATGCCGAGAAATCTTTCAATGTGACGGTGCCCCGATTTAGACGTGGAAATTTTTCGGGTTGAACAAAACGTGATTAGATTTAAAGATGGTGACAAACCTTGAGCATCCACAGACCGGCAAGCTAGTGCAGCCATGACACAAATGGCAATGAGAACATGGAACATTTTTGGTGATGAAGATCTTGATGATGCTAAGAAATCCATGGCCTTAGAATTCAGCTTCAGCTTCAACTAAAGCTTGTGAAATACAAGGTTACAAAAGCCTGAAAATGATAAAAATAAATAGGTAAGGTAACAAAAGGCACAAATTGAACGGCGTGGCTATAATGAGGGGGATTTAGTGCGGGGGTTACCTAGATTGATCGAATAGTTTAATATCATTATCCTCTTTATGTTACAATCAGGTTGGAATTGCCCGTTTCTAAAAACCAAAAGAGTTTTGTCATCCACATCATGATTCATGCCTACATTGTCCGTTTCCAAGGAACTTTGAATTTTCTTCTCTTCCAGTCTCCAGACAACATTCAATTTTCTTATGTGTTTCAGTTAATGACGAGTTGAAACCACCATTTCTCACAGCAAAAGCAAAGACACAAATTGGGTTTTTGTTTACTATTTTCGTCATGTTCTTCATGTGAACTGAAGATAGATCTTTGATTATCTATGCAAGAAGTTTTGAAAACATAAAAATCGTGGTACAAACATTCACCAGGATTTGTTTTCTCTGATGTTGCTTTGGGTTTAGTTCAGAGATAAACATGAATTTTTTTATTTTTTTTTGGGTTTATTTTTATTGAGAGAATAAATTGAGAAACAAAAAACGTATCCCATGGGCCAACTAAGAGTACAAAAGCCCAAAATGATAAAAATAAATAGGTAACAAAAGGCGCAAATAGAATCTTACAATTAAGAAATAGTCAAAGAGGCCCAACCTTAACAGGGAACTAAAAAACCCAAATACAAGAAACAACATTGAGAAGAAGAAAAAAGCCCTAATCATATCAGAGTACATCATGCCACCACCGTGAATTGGTCATCATCAACCACCCGAAAGGGGAGGGAGTAACTGCCGCCCGCGGCCACGAAAGCAGCAACCAAACATTGAACCCGTGGTAGCATTAAGTTTAGGTTGGGGTTCCTCAATGTTCTTCCACATTGAAATAAATATTAGATCACATAACAAAATAGCTCTTTACGAATACATCTCTCAAAACAAAAAGTTAGTCATGGTAACATTAAGTTTAGGCCGAATTTACTCAATTTTCTTCCACATTGAAATAAATATTTGATCACATAATAAAGTGGTTTATTTTTCTTTAATTATTCTCAAATAAGTCTCTCAAAATATAAAACTCCGTAGTGCCTTAAAAATTTTCAGTCAAAACAAAATGGGGAGAGGAAAAAGAAAAAGTTTTTTTGTTGGATAAAAACAAATAGACTTCATTCAAATAAGATAAACATCTTACAATTAGCCAGAATGACTAGAAATTAGTAATGCAATAATGTGCCCTCGTTAAAACATTCTCTTAAAAAACCTCCAAAGAGGAAAATTTAGTCAAGTAAAACGAGTATCACTACACGCAACCAAACTTTAACATCGCCTAACAATCTTCAAGCGTGGGCCACAACCAAATAGGTGCAGTAACATCCCAACAGGACCCCGCACCTTCCTTCAGCCCATTATTCCCTTGTGTAAACAAACATCAACAACAGCCATGTGGGACATTAAACCTTTGATGTCTTCTACGTTGTTTCCCACATTTGTCCATGTGACGCCACTCTCTTGTAAGAGGAGGACCGCCACTCTCTTGTGAATCCAAACCAATCATAAAACCATGAAAACCACTTTCTAACGCCAAAGGAGTTGCTTGCTAGTTGCTACTACCATCAATTATCAAGGCACCCCCTAAACGCAACAAGAGATTCGAGCACTTTTCTCTTTTCCTAATTTTATAATAAACACATCGTCAGCAAAGCGAGCCTTACAAACCAAGCAATTATAAACCTTCCACTTGAGTCACCAGCTGAGTGGCTCACCCTTTCACTGTGCTGTGTTCACTTGTGTTTTTCTCAGCCACACGTTTCATCAGCTCACAGATATATCGATTTTTCACTTCCCAGTTCCAAATTTGAAGCCGAACCCATTGAACCATGCCTTGATTACATGCTAATTACCATGTCTACATGATTATAAATTGTGGGATTATAATCAAAATCCGAAACTGGAGAGAAAACCCAACCCAACAACGGTAACAACGAGAAAAGCCGCATAGCTATGCTTCCTCTGCCTCCCATTGATCTCAAAGATGTTCAGCAAAAGCTCGCCACGCATTTCAGGCCTTGGCAACGCTCCTTTCAGTTCTGGGCTCGAGCTGTTGATATCTACACTGGCTACAAGGTCCCTCTTTTCGCTTTTTCTTTCTTTCTTTTTTCTCAATGTATGTGTTCACGTTTGCATGCGTGGAATCCTTTAAGAATCGCAGTGCCTGGACTTATTTGTTTGATGGGTTTTGCTGGGTGTCGATAGGTGTTTCAGCTTCGAGTGATTTTGGTGAAGGATGTGAAGAAACAAGAGGAAATGTGGGAAATGCAGCATGAAGTTGCAGCTGAGAAGATATATGCTATGTGCTCAGACCTCGGCGGTTTCTTCCTCAAGGTGTTCGAAGAATTTAGTGTTTAGTTTTTTCGTATTTATTCCTTCACTCCTTGCTCTTGTGCCACTGAATTTGATTTCAGGCGAGGGAATTGTGAAATGACATGGGTTTTAGCCCAACCCATTAGTTTGTATGTGTTGTATTGTGTTGAATGCTTGACACAGAAATAAATGTTAAAAAGACTGGATTTTTGTTTATGATCTTAGTCAGTTAAACTATGGAATGGGGAGGGGTTGGTTAATCAAATAGTTCTTCTTTAATTTCCACTTTATTCCTTACAGAGTCATGCTTTATCGATGCTTGTTGTTCGGTTTAATTTGCTTTCTAATTGGTTTTTCAGTTTTAGGGGAGGTACAAGGGAACCTAAGGATTTTAAATACCTTGGAATTCATCACTGGTGGTTTTTGGTTTTGTAATATTTGTACTGATTACTGAACTATTCGCGGATGGTGTTTCAATTAGGTTGCCCAAATTATCGGGAAGCCTGACTTGGCCCCGGCAGCATGGGTGAAAAGGCTTGTTACGTTGTGTGATCATGCTCCTGCAACCCCATTTGATGCTGTTCAGCTTATGCTGGAGACTGAGTTGGGTCAAAATGTTGGTGAGGTGTTTGAAAGATTTGATGTGGATCCTCTAGGCTCTGCTTCAATTGCACAGGTATTTCTATTCATGAGTAATTTCTGGTTTTCTTGTATTCAAATTCCACCGTAGAAACTGCATTAATAATTGGATTTTGCAAATATAACATTCTTAGCTAGTATCAGCATCAAAATTTTCATTAAGAGAGGCTTCCCAGAAGCAGACATGACTTGATGATGATATTGATTGTTTTGCTTTAAGTATGTAATTTGCATCAAGAGGATTAATAATTAAGATTTATGGACAGATATTACCATTAAGGAAGAGTTAGGCACATTTCAGAATTCTTCAATGTTGCAATTTATCTTGTTCTTTTCATTTAGTTCCTTTTAGGCCAGCTATTTTGTATTGGAGGAGAGAATCATACTGGAACTGGTATTACAATGCTTATAGAAGCTTATACATTTGTACCTGATATATGTCTTATGGTCAAACTAGGTTCACCGAGCAAGATTGAGAGGTGATAAGACTGATGTTGTTGTCAAGGTGAGGGAACTGAGAAAATTCTGTGGCTTCTTTATGTTCTGTTCTGTGAAATTCTAATTTCTTGTGGTGTATAATAGGTGCAACATCCTGGAGTTCAGGATCTAATGATGACAGATATTCGTAACTTGCAAGCTTTTGCTTTATGCATACAAAAGACAGATATCAAATTTGATCTATACTCTGTAACTAAGGAAATGGAGAAACAGGTGCCTTATACGCACAAATTTTGGAGTCTTTCTCATCTTAGGTTACTATCTGAAATATAATCATCCATATCTGGAGACTAACTACCTTTCATGTTTCCGATTCAAGATTGGATACGAATTTGACTTCATGAGGGAGGCTAATGCTATGGAAAAAATTAGACGTTTTTTGTATGAGAATAACAAAAAGAGTCCTGTTTTGGTGCCAAGACTGATGCGAGATATAGTCACTAGGTACGTCTTACTCCATTTTCTTTCCCTAACGACAATGATGCATTTGATGGTTTTCCTTGTCAAATCCTTGCACCATTTAATTGTGAGTGCTGTAAGTTCATTTGACTTCTTCGTTCCAGAATTTGACTTCTAGTAAACAAATGTTGCTTTGTTTGGTTAGGAGAGTCTTAGTTATGGAATATATCGATGGAGTTCCAATCCTGAATCTTGGTGCTGAAATTGCGAAAAGAGGAATAAATCCTGGTGGTAAGATTGCAGAGGCCGCAAAGCAGTAAGCTTCTAGTCCGTACAGAAAGCATGATGTCCTTTTTATCTACATTTGTGTGTTGTATAAATCGCTTTTTATTGTCAATAAAGTGCTATTTGTTTATTCTCGCTACTTAATGAGAAAGGTATCTCGGTTCTTTATATCAACAAACAACCATGTTAGGTGACTTTTCCCTTGATATGCTATCTCTTTGTTTCCTGTCTTATCTCTTTTATTAATTTGCTAAAACTTGTTTCAGTGTGATTTCCTTTTTCTTTTCCTTTTTAAAAAAAAAACTTTGATGGGCATCTTTCCCGAATTCGTTACCTTAACTTTCCCCTTTCTTTCTCTTTTCAAACATTTATTGTAGCTCTTAGAAATTTTTCTCACTATTTTTCTTTTTATAAATAGTTTGTTCTCTCATTAGGAATGCAGAAGGACAGTGATCAATTTTTCTGAAAATGCAGGAAAATCCTCCAAAGTTTGACACTAGCATACGGACAAATGATTTTGAAGTCAGGTTTCTTCCATGCAGATCCTCATCCAGGAAATATCCTAATCTGTAAAGGCTCAGAGGTAAATGACCAACCTATATTTGTTTCCTGTATATCCTCATGGCTTCATCCCAATATTGATCATTGTTATAATTTGCTTTCATATTGTATTCTCCTTTAGCTGTAAAGCTACATACTTTTGTCTTTCTAGTTATTAATTTACATTATAGATAATTTCATTTGAATGGTAAGCTGACTTTGAATTTGTATAATTCCTCCAAGTTAGGTTGCCTTGCTGGACTATGGCCAAGTGAAAGATCTACCAGATGAGTTGAGACTTGGTTATGCAAACCTTGTTCTCGCCATTGCTGATGGTGACCCTATTAGAGCATCAGAGAGCTACAGGTAATTTAACTTCGCAGTTGTTTTGTATGCTTATTATGAATGGGCAATTTAACTAGTCAACATGGGAAGAGAAACTAAGGCTGAGATGTGAGCTGCAAACTGCACACCAGTGCATGTGAAGCTCATGGAGATAAAATCGCAATAGAGAAATAGGTGAATTAGTATCATAGAATGAGATTGGAAAGAATGGAATGGTTTATTGTTGTGCTCAACTTCAGAATTTGAAACATGGACCTAATTCAAAGAATGATCACCTTTCCTTTTAAAATCTCAATGTCAGAGTTTGGTGAGCTGCTTGTATGCACAACATACTAATTTATTCCTCATTACAGGGAGCTTGGCATAGCAACCTTAAGCAAATGTGAAAATGAACAGCTTGAACTGTTAAAGTTGGCAGAGACAATGTTTGACACGAAATTACCCCCTGGAGTGACGATGCTGCAGCCTTTTTCTGAGGAATCTTCAATTAAAAAAATTGCCGTTGAGGTATGCTTAGATTCCAAAACTTCATTGGCTACCTACTTTCACATCATTTCATGTTTTCACGGTTATCAACTAGTAAAGACATTAATTTGTTTTCTAATCCGAATTTTTTTTTTCCTAATCTACTTGCGATTGTTTACATACTGTTTCCCCTATTGTCCCTGGCTCTTGTAGGCTTTCCCGGAAGAATTGTTTTCTGTACTTCGAACAGTGCATCTGCTGAGAGGACTTAGTGTTGGTTTGGGAATCAACTACTCATGTGCAGAACAATGGAGACCCATTGCAGAAGAAGCTTTGTTTCATGCTGGGAGGTTAAAAGGTGGCCTTTTCAAACTCCTAAGCTATAGAAAATTGGGGCTCATATTCAGCAGTAAATTAGTACACACATGCACCCACGCATATTCTTGTGCTAACTCCGTCATGACGAAGCATGTTCTTCAAATTGCTTCTGATGGTATATCTGAATTATACCCCTTGAGTTGTTTTCTGATCTCTTTCCATTTACATTCTCACTACCAGGTAAGGCTGTCAAGGCTAGAGGTCGTAGGCGGGGTTTATCAAGGTCATTTTGGAGAGACTGATTATCTTGTAAGCAGATGTAGGCTTTTGCTGATCAGGATGAACCTTCTTTGCTTCCAAAATTGGTTTTAGTGATGAGTCGTTTTCTAATTGTCCGTTTAATCTTAAACATGGAGAAGGAAACTTCAAGTCATCCACCAGCGTATATTCTTTCCTTTTGGCATCGTTTTATTTCGCCACAAGTTGTTCAATTTCTTTGAGCTAGTGCTGTATGCTGTTTTAAGATGTTGAAAAAAAAATCTCAGTTGGCTTATTTTAACGAGAGTGATTAGAAAGGCTACAACTCTCTTTGGTCTTTCTTCGTTCTTCAAGAATTGGCTTCCATATACTTGCCTCAATTTCCTATTATCTCATTTTAATACAGCTTCGAAATCAAATTCAAAATTAAGCGACTGAAATAAAAGCAGCTCCCCTAGGCTTTCTGGTAGCCCAAAGAGAACAAAACCCAAAACATAAATAAAAACAAAAACAAAAAGAATGTTCTTTTAATTTAAGAGAAGATAAAACATGAAAGTTCAGAAATTTATTGGAGGGTAGGGTATGAAAATAATAATGATAAAAACAAAAGTGTAAATAAATTGTTATAGAAGCACTTCTGAAATAATGCAATTTTAAAATTGATTCCACACAGAATTTAGATTATTTTTACTCTTATTAACCCCAAAATTAAAAAAAGCATAACTGCAATGGGTTTGGACATTTTAGGTCAGGCGGACATTGGGCCGGAGCCCAAAGTGAAAGAGTTCAAAGCACGCTTCCCGCCCTTTCTTTGAGTCTTTGCCGCGCCCATCCTCACTTTTGTCTCCTTCTCCCTCTCTCTTGTCAAAGTGAGGAGGATATCGGATGATTCAGATTTCAGATCTGTGCGTGTGTGTGTGTGAGTGCGGTCGAGAAGAGAGAGAGAGAGTGAGTGAAAATGTTTGGGAGAATAAGAGCGTCTTCTTGTCCGGCCGAGAGCCTGGAGAGACCGCCGTCCAAGATTCTCAAAGACGATTCTCTCTCCATCTACGGTATACACCCACTCACTACTACTCTTACTTTTTTGCGATCAATTTTTTTACCCTCAGATTCAAATATGATGTGTTGTTTGCTTGAGGCTTTTGATTTTCAATTGAACACTACAAGGGGCTTTGATTTGTCACATAAAAGAGTTTGTTCCGGCGACAAAGTTTTCCGTCGCTTTGTCACCTGGCACCGCTATTTTCTGCCTGCCGCCTGTTTGATAATATGTTTCGCTGACATTTATATGAAACCCCTGCTATTGAGACTGTTTCTTGTTGCTCACTGTGATGCTAAAGTCATATCTCAATATTTTATTTTGGAAGATATGTGCAATAAATTGGTTGAACAAAATTTCACTTGGGTATGCATCTGCTAGGGCACCAACAATTGATTGTCGTCATGAATTTCCCTTTTCTTTGATGCAGAGGCTACACTTATGAAGCTTAAATTGGGTTCTAAACGCAATTCGAGTCCATGCTCTAATGAGGTTGTAGGGGAGATAGATAACGGTTCTACTTCAAGCTCTTCCAATTCGGAGCCAATGAAGATAGATGCGAACTGTGCTTCTGCAGCGGCTTCTCAGGGTCATATAGAGGTGGCCAGCTCTCCCCAGGAGCAGGAGGAGTTTATGACATTAGACACAGATTGTTCTTCAGTAACAAGTTCGACAAGTTCTACTGATTGCCATTCTTTGGGTACCTCGAAACAGCAACGGAGTACAAACGTTTCAGTTCTCTACCTGTTTTCTAAATTTAGGAGAGCTCAAGAGGATATCTGCTTATCCTCTGGAGATGCAATGACAATAGAGAGTGCTAGTATTTCTCCAAGTTCTAGCGGTTGCCAATCTCTTAACAGCACAGAACAACATTTGGAAAAGGAATGTGTCAACTCTTTACCTGCTAGGCACATATGCATGCTCTGAGTTGGGTTTATAAAATGGGTTTTGGGTTGTGCCTGATTTGGCACTGGGAATCTGATGTGGTCTTTGTGTTTTATTGATCAGTTGAAAGCCAATTTTTTGTTGTTGTTGTAATTTTATAATCCCAATTATGAGGGAATGCTTAATGTATGGGAAATTATGTCAGCCATCAGCAAGCAAAGATATGTGATGAAGTTTTAGTGTTTCGTTTGTCATCGATGAGCAATTTCAGTACAATGTCCTGATTTAGTTTGAAAGCTTGTGAACACTTCCATGGTAAGCACAGGAGAAATCTTTCAAAATCTATCAAGGCACTCATATTAATTAAGAATCGATACAACGCCACAAGGAATATAAGGTACAAAAAATTATTGAAGCTTCTCAAAATTACAGATTTAACATGTAATTCCTGAGGGGTTATTGTCTAAGATCACATATAAATGATACAACGATACATATGCTCAGAAAACTCTTTCAAAACTGTGTCCCTTGCTAGAACTGAGCATTTAAGTGACAATCACTCCCTCAACCATGGTTCTTGGGCTGGCGTCCACTGACATAATTCACCTTCTTTGAACCAGAGAGCTGCATAGTGCAAATAGTGAATGAGAAAGAAAAGTGGGAGGGGTTGGAGAAGAGAAATATCCATCAGAGAAGAGTAAATACCAAAAAGAAAGCCTACCTATTTCGCGCTTGCCATTTTCAGGGCTGTCACTCCCATGAACGACATTCCTGCCAACATTTTCATACAAGACCTTGTCCCATTAGATTTCAATTCTCATCAAGTGAAAACAAGACAAGTTGCAACCTGACTTAATACACATATATGATGATATATCATAATTCAACTACCAAAGGGTAAGGAGCCCAACCTTCCTGTTTGAACAGCAAGATCCCCTCTTATAGTTCCCGGTTCAGCTTGAAGAGGATTTGTAGACCCAATTAACTTACGTGCTGCTGCGACCACACCAACACCCTCCCATGCCTTGCAAGCAGTGCATCATTATCAGTATTCTTGTAATAAATTAGCTAACATATACCTTAGATTCATTGATTTCCATGGAATACACAAAATAGATGAAAAAATAAGGGTGAATCATACATACCATACACACAACTGGGCCAGATACAATGTAGTCGATCAATTTAGGGAAGAAAGACTTTCCCTTGAGATCCTTGTAGTGCTCCTGAAACAACAAAAGTCACACATTATACATATAAGAGTTACATAGTCAGATCATATCAACTTTTCCGTGAGTTACATAATGCTCCTGAACATTGTAAATGAGATTACAATTACGTGTTTCTGCAGATTGATTGCACAGAATACAGAATACATAATACATAGTAAATGAGAGATTGAATCTCGCAACCCGTCATGGCCACTCCAGCATACAACTCCAAAATTTTTTCTTTTTCAATTGAAATTATTTTCTCCTTGGACTTTGAGCACAAACTGCTTATTATGAATGCTCCATTTGCTTAATTCATCAAATAGGTGAATTAAAAAGTGTGAGCACACAGAACTACTAGAATCTCAAAATGTACAGTTGAAAGCTTTTTTTTTGGCTTTTATAAGGGAGCGAAAGAAAAGAGCCAAACCTCTGCCAAATCTTGGGGGCACTGGAACAGCTTCAAGCCAGTCAGTTTAAACCCCTTCTTCTCAAACCTTGAGATTATCTCTCCAACCTAAAAAATTCAATTTCAAATTATATGGACACAATTAAGAATACCAAGATTAAATTATACTGAATTTAAAAAATAAAGTAAAAAGGTTTTTCTACACCCCAGTCAATCAATTGGGGTCAATCAAAATTCAAGTTTTTGTCTTTTCAGAGCCCCAACGATTGAAAATTCCAGGGCTCAATCAAAATTTGAAATTTCATAAATTCCCCAAAGTCTTACCAGCTGCCATTGCCAATTAGCCCAACACAACATGCAGCTGTTAAAAGTTGAACAAATAAATAATGGAAATGGAGAATTAGCTTACAAGGCCACGCTGAACTCCATCAGGTTTCACCATTATGTATGTCTCATCAACTTGTTCCTGAAAACACATAGACGAATTAAAATTCCATAAATTTCAATTGGGTTTCCACTAAATTTTAAGCAAAAACAAGGGTTATCAATAATTCTTGAAAAGAGAAAGAGGGTAGGGGCAAACCAGTGAAGCAACCAAGTGGGGAAGAAAGATGCGAGGTTTGGCGAGGGTTTTAGCATGAGGACGAGATGGGAAAAATGAGAAAAGATGGCACTTTGAAGGGAATGCTGATAGCTGGTGGTGACGGGTGCGTAGGTGATTCTTGTGGTGGGTGTAGGATAAGCTGCAGCTTCTCTCAGCTGCTGAGCGTTGAAGGGATGAGGAAAAACACGGACTTGCTCCGCCAAACACTGCCAGAGTCTCCATTCTGTCTGTGCTTCTCTATCCCCTCTTGTTCTATCTCTGCACGTGTTTATATATTGTATTTACTTTCTTATTTGAATTTCTATTTATTTTTAATAAAAATATATATATATTACTCCCAGGAATTTCTCTGATGAATATCCCCTTCAAATAATGCCAAAAATATTCTTGTGCAAGTTTCTTTTTCTTTTCATGTTTAAGTCCAAAACAATATGTTCAATTCTATTTTTCTCCTTATGTGACTACTATGTGATGATAGATATAGGCACTATATATATATTTTTTTTTTTAGTTGAAGCGATAGTCTAAACTACAGAGGAGGGAGTTTCACACACACACACAACCAAGGTGCTATGGGGGTTCGAACGTGAGACTTCTGCAAGCCAAAACCCTTTTCCACTCGGCTAGACTCCGTTGTCATAGATGTAATGTAAGCACATATTATATAAAACCAGTGACATCCAACAACCTGTCGTCAAGTATTGTCATCTCAACTTCAATTCTTTTCCTAGTTCAGCAAAATGAACCAGAATTAACTCTCCAATTGTGTGTTCTTCCACATAGTGTACTTGCTCTTATTTACTGATGACAAGACATATAATCATATAGCCAATTGATGCTACGGAATCTGAACTCTTTAGAATTCTTCTTTATCAGAGACAGTGTGGGACTTTCCTATTTTTCATCACCAAGCTACATTAAAGGGGTGACCTCTGTGATTGTCACCTTTGGTCATTAAAGAATCAAAGAAATGTTGTTTTGTACAATTGAAATTCAGCCTATATGCACACCAAGACCAAGCCACCAAGGCTTCTTCTTTATTCCATCTGTTTAATCACCCAAACAGCTCAAATTGAAAGCCAAACTCACTTATTTTCTAACTGCTCCAACACAGTCTGCAGCCATTGACATAGAAACAAAGTCACCCAAGTCTCCCTTCCAAGAATCCTGGATTGTTTTATTTGAACTTAAGCTGAACTGTGAGTTGGGATTTTTTTTTTCTTTTTTGTTTTTTTTGAAACTGAGCTCTGAGTTGGGATTTAGGAACCAAATCAAAGGTTTAATTAGCACTTCCAGCAGGAGGCAGCAACAATGGGCTTGGATTTCCAACCAAGAACCAAGCAACCCTTTTCTTCCAAAATGGTGTAGCCTTCACACACCTTGATCTTCCCAAGCCATTGCTTGGCATTAACCAGCATCTTAATAGGTGCAGCCTGAAATCCTGCACGGCTCATTCTCCGGCGCCACTGATCAACCCTCTCATGCCTCTCCACCCTTGCCGGTCCCTCGCAGCTGATTATGTTCTTGATCTCCTCAGCAAAGTAGAATTGTTCCATCTTGGCACGCCGAGTGTCGTATTTTGGTAGCATGGCATCTAGGGAGTCAAAGATTGCAGAGTAATAGTGCAGTGCCTCCATAAATCTCCCAAGAAAAAATGGTCCATTGTGGCTTGAGTCTTGCTCAACAAGAACCAAGATTTTTGGTGAGAGCTCATGAACCATCTGCAGAACTGAATTAAGAGCTCCTCTGCTTTCTTTCACCACACAATGCAACTGAAGAATGCTATTGACAACCAAGACTTCACCATCAAGCAGTTTGATGTCCTCAGGACGCAGGTTTTCCAAGTTGCTTTCCACCACTGAAAACTCCAAATTTATTCCCAAGCTGTCAGCATAGGCCTCAAGCTCATCCCCAATGATTTGCAATCTGTCACCAAACAGGCCAACACCAGTTATTCTTAGGCGGCTAGGTGGCTGGCCTGCACGCGTAGCGAGGCTTTCGATCAAGCCGCGCCACTGGTCTCCATGTGGCAAACCAAGGGTCATCCCCAAGTCCACCACATGAACAAAACTCTCTCCCTCAAAGGCTTCCAATATTGATGAATTGGCCACAAAATGACCAAACTGAATATGGGGGCAAATCTCATAAACAAGGCGCAATGCCTCTTCCTTCTTGTCCAAGGCAAAATCTTTGGCGTTCATTGGGGATCCAATGAACCCAACAGCCCCAAGTGGTTGAACCAGGGCTAGGCGGTTCGCAAGGCCTTGGACAAAACACGAAGCCACACGCTGAAAAGAAGAGCCAAAGACCAAAGCATTGGCCCGAAGCTCAGACAGTAAAGCGGAGGCATGTGACTTATCACGACAAGCAACAGCTTCAGCACAAGCAATGAGGAGCTGAACAAGCCTCATCCCATCAGCAGTTCCATCCTCCTCTGCTCCATTTCCCTCAGCATTGGTCATGGCTGCTGCTGCCTCTTCAACAGCCTCAGCAGCAAGGTATCTTTGTGTATAAGTCCATATATGGTCTCGGAAATGAAGCCTTGGTAAGGTGTTCAAGCTATTCGTGCTGCTGCTGCGGCTGATGCTGCCGTTGGTAACACAACTGTTATTGCTTCCGCCACTATAAAGGCTGTTATGACTTGACATGGATTCGGCGATACTTATAGTTCTTTTCAGCCTCTTGTGGTCTCCGCTTTCATCCGAATAAGGGAGGGTCAAGGCAGAAGCATTGCCCTCCTTCAATAAGGGCATGTATGGATAAGAATAGCAAGACGTGGCAGAGTGACTGATAAGATCAAGAGCACTCATTTTATTAGTCCTTTCATGATTGATCATGTACTCTTCTGGCATGAAGTTCCGCCTAGGAGCCATTTCTTGAGCCTATCCTTCAAAGAATATTCAACAACGCTCTGAAAGGCCCTATTGCC